TACCGCTGTGCATCATCTGGTCTAGCCAGATCTGCAAGGCAGAATTGGGGTCCTGGTAGTTGGGGGGAGGAAGCGTTTAAGAACTAGAGGAAGGTTTCGCATATTTTTCATAACAGGTCTCTTGCTTACTTCATTTTACTTTTTCTAACACATTTTTATTTGTTTCAAAAGTCACCTAGGTCTGTATCTTTATAATTTTTCTATACCTTTATTGGGTGAACGTCCTCTTAGAAACATGATATTGCAGATGTTGATGAACCTCTGTCACTAATATCTAGTATATTTACATGATGATCACAAAAAATATATATCAAAAACAACTGTTCCTACACAGTATTATTTCTTGCTGTCTTTTCAGGTAGATGGCTTATTAATTAAATAAACTTGAAAATCAGTTAAAGAATGCAGTCTTTTGAGTGTCCACAAGGAAAAAGGGATTGCGGCTTAACTGAAAGTTTCCCTGGTTATTTCCATTAAATTTAGTACCTTATCCTCATATGTTAAGCGCAATGTCAGCTGAGTCTGCTTCCTTTTATGGGAGAGAAAAATTATACTAATAAATGATAACATTAACAGTTCCCAAATGTTACTATTTGGCACAAGTTCTAAGCACTTCACATGCATCAACTCATGTACGCTTCCCTCAAATTCTGTAGGACAGATCCCACTATTATCCCCATTTCGTAGATGTAGAGACTGAGCATCGAAATGCTAATGTCTGTATTTGGCCCAAGGCGGAACACCCAGTAAAAGGTGTGCTTTAAGCAATCTGATTTCCTATTACACACTATGAGATATTGAAAGAATTATAATGAAAGAACTGGCTGTGTGATGTGTGACTTCAGATGTTCCCTGTGATAAAAACCAAGCTCACTGCCATTGAGTCGACTCACAGAGACCGTATCAGACAGGCTAGAACCACCCCTGTGAGTTTCCAACTCTGTAACTCCGCACAGGAGTGGAGAACCTTGTCTTTCTCTTGTCGAGGGGCTAGGGGTCTCCAACTGCCGACTCTCTGATTGGAGGCCCACCGCATAACCGCGTGGCGTCTCTGATTAGGCATGGAGAATTTTGGAAGCATAGAACTTTTCTGATTCTGATTCATTGTGGAACATCCTGAGTTGTGTTTTTCTGTGAACTAGGTCTGTCTTTGTTAGGAATGAAAAAAGCTTTAATTTCATCTGTAGACTCAAATTTGTCCCCCTTCCCCTTATACTGTTGGCTTTTTAAACTCAGAGGTTTTTTGTTTTCTTAAGATCATTTTATTGGGGGCTCTTATAACAATCCGTACATCAATTGTATCAAGCATATTTGTACATATGTTGCCATCATTATTTTCTAAACCTTTATTTTCTATTTGAGCCCTTGGTATCAGCTTCTCATTTTTTCCCCTCCCTCCCTCGTGAACCCTTCATCATTTATAAAGGTTTTTTTTCATGTCTTCTACTGATCGATGTCTCCCTTCACCCACTTTTCTGTTGTCCATCCCCTATTTGAGCCCTTGGTATCAGCTTCTCATTTTTTCCCCTCCCTCCCTCGTGAACCCTTCATCATTTATAAAGTTTTTTTTTCATGTCTTCTACTGATCGATGTCTCCCTTCACCCACTTTTCTGTTGTCCATCCCCTGGGGAGGGGGTTATATATAGATCACTGTGATTGGTTCCCCCTTTCTCCCCCCACCTTACCCTTACCCTTCTGGTATTGCTACTCTCATTATTGGTCCTGAAAGGTTTATCTGTCCTGGATTCCCTGTGTTTCCAGCTCTTATCAGTACCAGTGTACATCTTCTGGTCTAGCTGGATTTGTAAGGTAGAATTGGGGCTATGATAGTAGGGGGGAGGAAGCATTAAAGAACTAGAAGAAAGTTGTTTGTTTCATTGGTGCTAATACTGAACCCTGACTGGCTTGTCTCTTCCTTGTGACCTTTCTGAAAGGGGATGTCCAATCATCTACAGATGGGCTTTGAGTCTCCACTCTGCACCCCTCCTCATTCCCATTAATATGATTTTTTTGTTCTGGATCTTTGATGCCTGGTACCTGATCCCTTCGACACCTCGTGATCACATAGGCTGGTGTGCTTCTTCCATGTGGACTTTATTGCTACCAGCTAGATGGCCGCTTGTTTACCTTCAAGCCTTTAAGACCCCAGACACTATATCTTTTGATAGCTGGGCACCCTCAGCTTTCTTTACCACATTTGCTTGTGCACCATTTGTCTTCTGTGATCCTGTTGTGACGCTGCAGCTCCTCTTTTTTTAAACTCAGAGCTTTAACCTCATGGTGTTCAACTTCAAGTAATTTTGGCAATTACTGAATTTTATGTTAATGTTCATCTTTAATAAAAATACATATTTTTATTACAGAATTATTCTTGCTCATTGTATAAACTTTTCTACAGTGTTAGTAAGTGAATTATAAATGAAGCTCTCTCCAACATCCTACCCTTACATCCACCTAGCTGTACTTCATAGTTAGTTTTATTAATAGTTGTGAGATAACCATTATTTGATGGCGTAGTGGGTTATACATTGGGTTGCTAACTACAAGGTCAGTAGTTCAAAACCACAAATCATTTCGTGAGAGAAAGATGAGACTTTCTACTCTTATAAAACTGTACAATCTTGGGAACTCACCGGGGAAGTTCTACTCTGCTGTACTGGGTTACTATGGGTCAGAATCAACTCGATGGCAATGATGTTTTTTGCGCTGGCAATTAATTAAAATGTTATTTTATTAATGCTTTTTCAATTTCCTCTTAAGAGAATATTTTTTTAATGTTATGCCCTACTTAGAAATTGTATTGATCTGATTCATTTTAGTCCAGTTGTTCCTGGTAGAGAATACGTGTGAAAAGCCAAAATTCTTTGAAGAACACGAGATTGACTTATTGCAGTTCACACCTCTGGGTGGAGTGTACCACTTGGATATTTTGGAGCTTCCCCCACAGTGGAAACTGGTGAATGGCTGGATGATGGTAGAAGTAGGTTGATTCTTCTCTCTCTTTTTTCCTCTTCATTGAGGTGCAATTCACGTAAAATAAAATTGATTCTTTTAATGTGTACATGTTAGGGGCAACGCCTGTCACAATTTAGAGCTAGGAAACCCTGTGGGGCAATTCTACTCTGTCCTATAGGGTTATTATCAGCTGGAATCCACTGGACAGCCCACAGCAACGAGTAGTATATTTTAAATGTACTACCACCACCTTTATCTTGTTCGAAAGCATCTTTGTCATCTCCATATGAGACCTCATATCCATTAGGAGTCCTGATGGCATTAGGGGCCACTCATCGGGCTCCTAGGTACAAGGTCAACAATGTGAACCAGCCAGCCCCTCCGTGAGAGAAAGATGAGACTTTCTCCTCCTGTAGAGATTGGCTGACAGCTCTGGAAATCCACAGAGGGAGTCCTATAGGGCTACTCTGAGTCAGAATCGACTCTATAAGCCATGAGTTTGGTTTTGGTTTATTAACCAGTTAGTTACTCCTTATTCCTCTTTCTCCCATTCCCTGGCAGTCACCAAGTTTTGTTATGTTTACGGCTTTACTTATTCTGGATTAGGTGATGCTTTATCTGGCTACTTTTTTTTAAAAACAAAATTGTGCTCAAGTTCACCTGCAAAGCTTGTATCCGTATGTCTTTCCTTTTATGGCAGGGCAACATTCCACTATATGTACGGGCACAGTGCTTGTCATCCATCTCTTGGTAGTCATTGGTTATTTCTACCTGTTGGCTATTGTGACTATTGCTGCTATACATAGTTGTATAACAAGCATTTGTTTGAGTATCTGCTTTTTAATTTTTTGAGTGTATATCCCAGAGTGGAATTTCTGGTTCATATGGTCATTTAAAGAACTCTCAAACAGCAGGTTGATTTATGAATCAAAATTTATCAGTAAAAGACTTTCTCACACTTATACTTTGTCTCAAAAGATTTAACATTTAAATCTATGTTGAGATTCAACCTTACTAATCACAAAGAAGAGCATGTGATTTTAAACATTTGGGTAGTCAACCTATAGACAAATGGAACCAGACTCCATTGCTTATTTAAAATCATCGTATTCAGTAATGCTTGCTGTTTACATTCTTGTCAGTAAGCTGATAACTAGTTGTTGTGTTGTTCTTTTTTTTAAAAGATACTCAAAGAAGGATTACAGAGATATAATTATCCTCCAGAAACTTCCGAAGACTTGGAAATAGAAAACATCTTCCCACCAATAGTGGTCACCATCAAGGTTCAGGAAAATGTAATATTTTTTGAGGATCCGATAGTGGCAAGGTGGGACCCAGAAGGTATAGCACTGTCATTACCAGCTTTCATAATCATAAGCATGGAAAGAGGTGGTGCAGCATGAAAACTGGATTTCTAATCTTACATATTTCTAAGCCAGTTCCATGGTCTTTGTGGTGCATGCTCTTGATGAAAATGAATAGAGGTTTGAGTTTAAAAGTTATTAAATGTTATAACACCTTAGTCCCTGAAGTGTGTATGTTGGCCATCGTCTAAACAATTCATTCATAGTTATGTCATTATGCTAA